GTTACAGGACATCATATCTGACTCAAACGAGATTGTCCTCACAACAACTTATCATGACTTAAGTTGGACCTAGCTTTCCAAGCCCATTGAGCCAGGTTATCCTGCAGCAGCTGATCAGCGGCTGACACAGATCATGTGATTAATTTAATTAAGCAAAATGCTATAGTTAAACCATTAAGGGTGTCATCTGTTCTCAGTTGATTAGGCCATCTGCTCCCTTGCCACACTGTCTTCGTCATCTCTTGCGCCATTCTACCCTCTGCTCTCTCTGCCGGTCCTACTCAAGCCCTTTTGTGGTTATCGCTCCTCCCATCGTGTTAGGCGCTAATATTTCAGAGCTAATTCACGAAACCATGTGTGCTTTAGCCTAATTTTGAGCTAAGGCTATTTTATACTCTTTCTATACTCGATTAAATCATATTCTAAGACTATTCGGCTCTTCCGTTAGGTCAGCCGATGCAAGCTCATGCTCTAGTAACGCTTCATCTATATGACTCTTTTTCACATGGTGTCCTTAACTTTCTTAATTCAGGTGTCACTCTACTCCAGTGCGCAGATATTGCTGTCGCCTTCGCACAGGCACAGAATCAAGCTGCTCGACAGCGACAGCAAATACGTTCTGTTGGTCTATCGCACCGTACCGCAGCACCCACCCCGCCTAGCTGGGCTCTCAATCTGCTCAGCATACGCAATAACTCCGCTGGCACCAGTGTCACCTCTTTGGGATCACCAGATGCTGGTATTTTTCTTCTGCTGGCACGGTGGATCAAGGGACGCACGTATGTTGTATCTGCGGACTCCGATTCCACGCTTGATCCGCAGCCCGGCTACACCTGTCATTTACCAGCCTGGTCCCGGTTTGATACCCTTGATCCTGCATCTATCAGTCTATCGGACATTTTTCAAAAGACTCAGGTAGATAGCCCTTAACTTATTTCTACTGATTAAAGGGCCTATGAGGCGCATCGATGATGTCTATATACCACAGGGTGGAGCTTTTCCGTTATGTGTAAAAGGCTAGTTCACTGAGTAATCATAGCCAGCCCTATCAAAGGCAATTAACAGTCTAATGAAACAGAGATAAAACGCAAATAATGGAGGCTATCTACAGTTTAAATGCGAAAATGTACTAATCGTCTTAGTTATGAACGTTTGGCAGCGATATACTCTTCTCTTCGTAGCCTTATACGACAAACAAGTCTCAAGACACAATTACTAAACGAATATTCGGGTATAATTAACCGATGACATGCATTTATTTAATTCCTCTCAAATAGATATGTTAAAGTAAGCAGTTTTGAATTCCAAAATTTATTCTACATAGCTTCGTACCTATCTCCCCTATTGTGTAGAAATATGTCTGTTTCATAGAATACTCTCTTGGCATGCGCTAAGACCAGACTATTAAGAAAAACTGGGTTTTGAAGACTGGTTATTTCATGTTATTTTACTTTTTATTCTTTCTAAATACGAAGAGAAACTGGCTTTCGATTAATCTCTTGATAACATTGTTAGAGGACTTTCATTTCGTATGAAAGTT